AGAAGTAAGCAGTGGGTCTCAGTGGCCCTCCGTGAGACTGCAAAAGTACCGACACCATGCACCCACATCGCTCATCCACAGTCTGAGTGAATGGCCAGTTGGGTCAGGGAGACCTAGTGTGTGTGTGTAGATTTGCTGTTCCGTTCATCTCCAGTTGCTTTTCTCCCGGATCGTCCTCAATTCATATTGTGGGCTTTTGTGCCAAAGTGGAGGCTCATTTCCTCCTGATCCATACTACTGTCATCCCTGGAGCAGGGGTAGTTTATCTCTCATCTGAAAAAGAAATATCAGAACACAAAAAAAAAAAAAAAAAAAAAAAAAAATGCCCACTTTCGCTTGTCAATCTTTTTCCCAATTGGGCAAAACATAACTGCATTGACAGACGGTGTGTGACATCAGGGCGGAGGCTGTAGCCAGATACAGAACAACAAAATGTATGTTTCTAATTTTATACTCCCCTAAATGTGAGTTTACAAACCAAAGTTGTCCTTCAACCGACGACAGCTCACTGCGGTTGGACCGAATCACTGTCAGGGCAAACAGCAGAGGGAGGAACTCCCAATATCTTCAGCGAGGTATTTCATCTCAGAGTACTTTCCGCAGAGTACTCTTCTCAGAGTACTCATCCCAGAGTACTCTCACTTTTACACCTGTTCAATAAAGGTCGTTATCTTTGAATCTCTAGTACTTACACCGTATGCTGTTGACAAAAAAATAATTATTCCATGATCACATTAAAACATTACAGACACATGTGTTATTCCATTCTCCGTTCAGCATTCCTCATTTCACTCCTCATTTCACACCACACTCACATCACACACATCACAGTCACATCACAGTCACATCACATCACAGTCACATCACAGTCACATCACAGTCACATCACGACAGTCACCCAGTCACATCACAGTTTCCCGTATTGGTCCAGAGTTTGTTAAGGTCAACGTAGTGTACTTTGACATGACACACAAACATATAACATACACAAAACATATAACACACACAAACATGTAACACACACAGAAGGCCTGTAATTTTAACTTTGTTATATTTTTCCATGTCCAATTACAATTGTCTCATGAGCTATTCCTATTGTTGCAACTTTCAGAGCCTGCAGAACATGCAAAGCTTTTTAAGAGATTTTTCCTAAAAAAAAAGAAATCCATTTCCAACTTTAGTGTTTACCACGTGGTCTGTAGTCGGGCTTATCACAAATGGTGTCCCCTATATCTCTAATGAGCTCTTGTTACGAAAATGTAGCTTAACGGTTTTATAATAACTTCACTTACAATGACACTATGCACCTTCAAAATAACTTAAATCACACAAACAAGGCCCATCGCAAATATATCAATCCTATTAAACACATGCATTATTTACATGAAATATCACATTTTTAAAACTGATGACTCAAAATAGAGATGTTGTAAGAGACAGTCTGTTCCAAAAGCCTCCTCGGGTTTTCATGCTTGTTCTTCCAACTGTGCCTGAGTAACTGTGCTGTAGTACAACGCTCGGTCCAGCTGGTGGCGCTAATACTAACTTCAGTGGCTCCCGCATTGTGCGAGCTTCCTGTTTACATTGCTGTAGCTGCTACTGTAGCTAACAGCTACTGTAGCAGCTACTGTAGCTAACAGCTACTGTAGCAGCTACTGTAGCTAACAGCTACTGTGCAGCTACTGTAGCTAACAGACAGCGGGGAACACGTTGTTTGTATCAGAGCAATGAGAGCATTGTGTGAGACGTGTCTTTCCCCAAAGTGCAGCGGCTCAGTGGGACACGAGTGTGTGTTCTGGCGATTTAAATAAAGTCTGATTCTTGACCGTTTGAAGTGTTATTGCAACAGCACCAACTGTGAGAGCGAGCATCAGGCCAGAGGGAGACTGTTAGCATTAGGTTAGCTTCAAAATGACTGTTCAACACCATAGACCCGCGGTTAGCGCGTTAGCGCTGTAGTTCTGCGATGGAGAAAATAAAAAATCGAATTTTAAAAGAAAAGAAATCGCCCTAAATGTAAAACTTGAATTTAATGATTAAAATCGATTAATTGCCCAGCCCTAACTGAAGCCATGAGTTTTGTGAAGCGACCACTCACTTGAGAACGGACCAAAATCTGTCACCTTATGTTTTGTTTTTAAACACAGGATTTGTTGTAATCATCCAGAATTTTAACTGTTACACCACAGATTGTTAGCGTATATTACGGGAATTCAGCATGAATTATCTCTAAAAAGTGCCAATTGCAATTTGTTCTTGTTCAAACTTACATGAGCGGCCGCTTTGGTGACGAATGTGAACCCGGGTTTGGTCAGTCGCTCGTGTTTCCTCCACGCCCGCCTCTGCCGTCCTCTGGCCCCGTGTGAGCCTCTGCCTTTAACGCCTCCTCCGGTAACAGTCCTTCGACCCATGTCGAGCACACAGTCTTTCCGCCGGGCTGTGGAAGTTTAGGAGGCCCAGGTAGCCCAAAGCGTTAGCCTGTGGTCCATGAGGGTTGGTGAATAACCCAAACGTGCCGGTCTCAATGGCTTCTTCTGTTTGCGGTGCGGGAACAACTTTCAAGGGGGTTTCCGCGGGTGCGTTTGGTATATCACGCTGCCCCCTCCGTGGAGAACAGTCACGGGATTTGGAGCAGTTTCTCTCTGTGCTCCAAAGCAGTTGTCGGTGTCTCACATATTTGCTTCCCCCGCTTCTTCTTCTGCGGTTTCCTGAGCGTGTGTCTGCTTCCGCCACTTCTTCTTCTGCGGTTTCCTGAGCGTGTGTCTGCTTCCGCCACTTCTTCTTCTGCGGTTTCCTGAGCGTGTGTCTGCTTCCGCCACTTCTTCTTCTGCGGTTTGGGCCCACTTCTCGCGGGGTCTCAGCTGGTGCGGGCGCCGCCTGTGGTTGGGGCGTGGGGCTGGTGCTGGTGCTTTGAGGCAGAGGACAGAGCGCGGAGGAAAGGCGCCGACAGACCTGGATAGGGAGAGGAAAAGGAGACAACAGTAGTCTGCTTCATTTTTTTAAAACCCAACGCCTTGTTTGGGCGCGTACTTAGCATGGAGTTCTGCTCCTAGTGTGAAAGGGTTAGTAGGTGAGAGAGGGCGGTAGGGTGGGGGTGTGGGGGATGTGTGTGTGTGCGCCTGTGTGTTCTCCGCTTCGGCGAAAGGCGGAGGAGCTATTGTTTTTACATATTTCTTTCTCTAACCTCTTTTGCCGTGATATTCTTAAAACCAAGTATATTTTTTCTTCCCTACTTCTTCTAAATTTATCACGCAAGATGCGTAAATGATTCGGAGACATATGGCCTCCATCGGAAAAAAAAAACCAGATGCCCTGCACCATAGGCAAGCACTTCATAGCTTGCATCTCTAGATTGATTTTACCCATTTTCTCGTACGAACAATGGGCCTAACCCGCTTAGTCTCTTCCCTGCTCCTACCCACTTTGGGGCGCTCCGTTCCCCCCCCCGCTGGTTCAACCAGCGAGCGCGCGTTCTTGAAAACGGAGCGGGCCTGGCTAAAGGCACTTGGAGAAATTATCAGGGTCGCCTACAGGGCGATACTAACGCGCAGCCGCTAGCTTCAATCTAGAACAAAAGCCCCCAAAAAATCCCGCACACAGTCTATGCTGTGGCAATGAATGAAATACCCCAAAAATACATAAATAAACAAATCCCCGTGTACACTTAAGTTTGCCCTGGGCTCGTTTACGCAGATGAAAAGACAAAACTCACCAAATTAGGTTCTTTTTTGGTCTTGTGTGGCAAAAAGACTCCTTCCATGCGCGGGACGAGCGCGCCCTCCTTTGTCTCCAAAAAGGAACAGAGGCTGGTGATCCAGGTCGGCCAAACAAAGCCGCTCGTCCCCGCCGAAAGTATCCATGCCAAGACATGTCAGCAACGCCAAATTGTCGTAGAATTATATACCCCATGAAGGAGAAAACTTAAAGGTCCTTTGTCTGATCAAAAGCGTAAGTTTATTGTTAACACACGTGCGGAGAGCCAGCACATACACACAAAGGCAGCATGTACCAGCTCTGAGCGCAGAGCTCCGAGTTTCCTGTATACAGGACACACACGAAAGACAGTCACGCCCACAACAGATGGGAGGGGGCCACCGGTGGGGAGGCGCACAGGAAGCGCCGGCGCCATCCCCTGTGGTGACAGTGGCATGGGGGTGTGAACAGACAGACAATGGTAGAAAATGCACACATACAGATGCGAAAGACACAAGGGTGTGACAGACAGCAGGGACCTTCACAAAGCTCAGCATGGCGTCAGAAGGTAGTCTCTGCATTGAAAAGACCTTTTACGTCCGTGTATTTGCTGCGGCTGGTTTTAATGTGATTACTCTAAAAACTGTCATAACAGCTTCAGAGTGGGAGCGGGAGCTGCTGGAGACTCTACGGACCAAAGCAGCCGCCCGACTACACAGAAGAACATCAGTTCCTGCTCTCTCTCGTTCCTCTCCTGCAAAGGGTGGCACCAGAGTCAAAAGAATTTGTGAAATTCAAAATGTACCAACTTTTATATGAAAGCAGCACCGTTCTGCTTAATTTGGAACCATTGGCCAGTACAGACAGTTTATTGACCTAAGGTGACACCTTTTGCAGGGGAGGAAACAGACATGTGTCCCTTTCCTCTTCCACCGCACCTCCTCCAAGCAAGCTCCTTTTCATTTGTTTATATGTACATTTCATTTATTTTTCATTGTTTGTTCCTTTTTTTATAAAGAAAATATTTTTCAAACCTCATGTGTTCTACTTCAAGCCAACCATTACTACCTTTCATATAATATTGACAGAAAATGCTATTCTATATTTGTACATTTACTTTTATAAGAGCTGACTGGGTTTTATAGAAGATGGAATAACGAACACTTAAAGAGCGATACAGTAGTTGACAGTATTTTTTATTCATTTCACCTTTTACTGTTTTAACAACCTTGTAATTACGGAAAAGCTTGAATGTGCATTTGATTAACCTGAAGTTGGAGTGGAGTCGCAGTGGAGTCTGGCAGTCATTACCTAGAAACAGAAGGTATACAGGTGAATAGAATAGTGCAAATCAATATGGGTTTGGACTATGGCCAGATGTGGGTCAGTCTTGTGGTGGACATGACTACTCTGTGGGCTGCCACGGCAGTGCTCCCTCCTCACTGAAGTGGGCCATGAACACTTTCCTTATGTCCACTGCTGGCTTCCAGGCGGCCATCCGCTGCACGCCTGGAAGTGGTTCTTCACCGACAGCAGCTCCCCTCGGTGCAGGAACCTGCCCATCTCCAGCCATCCTCATCCTCATTAAATGAAATGGCAGGGCATTAAATTAAATTGCAGCGCAGTGAAAAGGCCTCATCTGCCACGAACACATGGGGCTGGGGTCCTCTGTGGTCAGCTCCAGGTATGCACTGGTCAGGAGGCAGGTCGAGTGTGCCCTCGCGCAGAGCCTCACCAAAGGCAGAGTTGGACATGAGGCCTCCATCGCTGGATCTGCCGTACCCTCCCACATCAATCACCCTGAACCTGTACTGGGCATCCACTACAGCCAGGAGCACAAGGGAATGGTGCCCCTTATAATTAAAAAACATGGACCCAGAGTTGGGGGGTGCCTTCACAGCCACATGCTTCCCATCAATGGCCCCACAGCACAGAGGGAAGTTCCATCGGACCTCCACTCCTCTGCTCCAGGCACAGCTATGAACTCCTCCATGAGGCAGTCCCAGATGGCTGCCACCACATCTGGGATGAGCATGGAGACGGTGGATATGCCCGCTCTGAAGCTCCCCGCAATGGTCCTGTAGGAGTCCCCAGTGGCAAGAAACCTGCAATTACAAAATGATATGAACATATTTATCACAATTACATTCATAAAAATCACGTGACAAAACTTGTGTAGCATAAAATACGTTAAACTAGTAGACAGTAAACATCATAGACAGTAATCATAGACACCATATTGTTGCATAATACTGTTTTCTGAGCTATTACATTGTGGATTGTGATTGAAAAATGACACACTTTGTAAGTATTTAGGAATTCTGAATGGGGTAAAAAACACTAACCGCAGACAGATGGACAGGCGCTCTTCAGCTGGAATAGAGCGCCTGTAGTTGGTGTCCTGGTAGGAGACCCTAGCGCCAATGCGGGTCAATAGGTCGTCAAACTGGGCCAGGGAGAGACGAAAGTACCGCTGAAAGCGACCCTCATCCGAGCGCAACTCCCGGAGCAAATGGTGAAACTCACCAAACTCCAACCGTCTACGGACTATCTGATGAATCCAGACACGTCGTCGATTCGCCCTTTGACGACGTGTCTGGCTTTATTTATCAGATAAAGCAACTCCTTCGCTGACATCCATGTTGGGAAGCTACAGGCAAAAGAGACAAGCCCCGCCCCTAAACGCTCTCAACTCTCTGTGACAGCGGCTGCCCTCTGGTGTCCTGGCCGCGCGGCCAAGTTTCTCTGTGACAGCGGCTGCCACAATTTGTCACAAGCGGCTCAAGCTGCGCGATAAACGCGATTTGGCCGCAGAAATCGCGTTTGGTCTGAACGCACCATTAGTACCAGATACAAAAGTACCATACAATCAAAAATAAATGTCAGTTTAGTCAACAAGAGTGAAATTGAACTTGTCTATGTTGGCAGAGCTGAAGTTGGCTGGATTACACTGCGTCTTCATGATCTAAAAGGCTGCTCTTGGGTTAGCGAGGCAGAGGGTCTTGTAAAATGAAGTGTGGACATGCCGGCCTTAGACCCTCCAGTAACAGCAAGGAACAACTATAACCACCCATTTGGAAGAAGTGATAGGGAATATAGATCCAGGAAACAGGCTGTAGAACGAGGACCACGGCTCCCAAACAACACAACAATTTTTTTTTAAATGAAATTGAAATTAAAGCCATATATGTCTTCCTACTGTACATCAGCCCAGTACTACTTCAGAGCCGTGCGGACACCTCCTCACTCATCCATCCAGCCTTTGTTCTCCGCTCCATCAAACCCACTGAGCCTCCGTCTATTTCTGCAGCATTTCGTGAGCAGGACCTGCAGACAAACCGGCGAGAGAAACAGCAGAAAACAAATTCTCCGACATGCAGCCTTGGGGCGTAAGCGAGGCAGCTCCGCGCTTGATCTGGCGCCGTCTGCCAAGGAGATTTTTCAAAAGGCGCCGTCTTGAACACAGGGCATTCCCGCCAAGACGAATGCGCCGCCGCGGGCTACACTGTCAGTCAAACCAGGCTTTTGTTTTCTCCCAGACAGCCACGCACTGTACGGAGCTGCGCAGGTGGACGATGAGGAAAGAGGTATTTGCAAGTTCTGTCGGAGCAGGAGTTGGCAAAAAATGAGACGATTCGATAGTATTGCGATATTTGGGCCACATTTCAATATTATTGCGATCTGTACATGACTTCATAGAGTCACAACAGACATCATAGAGTCACAACAAGCCGACATCATAGAGTCACAACAGACATCATAGAGTCACAACAAGCAGACGTCATAGAGTCACAACAGACATCATAGAGTCGCAACAAGCAGACATCATAGAGTCACAACAGACATCATAGAGTCACAACAAGCAGACATCATAGAGTCACAACAGACATCATAGAGTCGCAACAAGCAGACATCATAGAGTCACAACAAGCAGACATCATAGAGTCACAACAAGCAGACATCATAGAGTCACAACAGACATCATAGAGTCGCAACAAGCAGACATCGTAGAGTCACAACAAGCAGACATCATAGAGTCACAACAACCAGACGTCATAGAGTCACAACAAGCAGACATCATAGAGTCACAACAAGCAGACATCATAGAGTCGCAACAAGCAGACGTCATAGAGTCACAACAAGCAGACATCATAGAGTCACAACAAACAGACATCATAGTCACAACAAGCAGATGTCATAGTCACAACAAGCAGACATCATAGAGTCACGACAAGCAGACATCATAGAGTCACGACAAGCAGACATCATAGAGTCACAACAAGCAGACATCATAGAGTCACAACAAACAGACATCATAGAGTCACAACAAGCAGACATCATAGAGTCACAACAAGAAGACATCATAGAGTCACAACAAGCAGACATCATAGAGTCACAACAAGCAGACATCATAGAGTCACAACAAGCAGACATCATAGAGTCACAACAAGCAGACGTCATAGAGTCACAACAAGCAGACGTCATAGAGTCACAACAAGCAGACGTCATAGAGTCACAACAAGCAGACATCATAGAGTCACAACAAGCAGACGTCATAGAGTCACAACAAGCAGACGTCATAGAGTCACAACAAGCAGACATCATAGAGTCACGACAAGCAGACACCATAGGGTCACAACAAGCAGACATCATAGAGTCAAAACAAGCAGACGTCATAGAATCACAACAAGCAGACATCATAGAGTCACAACAAGCCGACATCATAGAGTCACAACAAGCAGACGTCATAGAGTCACAACAAGCATACATCATAGAGTCACGACAAGCAGACGTCATAGAGTCACGACATCATAGAGTCACAACAAGCAGACGTCATAGAGTCACAACAAGCAGACATCATAGAGTCACAACAAGCAGATGTCATAGAGTCACAACAAGCAGACATCATAGAGTCACAACAAGCAGATGTCATAGAGTCACAACAAGCAGACGTCATAGAGTCACAAAAAGCAGACGTCATAGAGTCACAACAGACATCATAGAGTCACAACAGACATCATAGAGTCACAACAAGCAGACATCATAGAGTCACAACAAGCAGACATCACATCATAGAGTCACAACAAGTAGACGTCATAGAGTCACAACAAGCAGACATCATAGAGTCACAACAAGCAGACTTCATAGAGTCACAAGCAGACATCACAGAGTCACAACAAGCAGACGTCATAGAATCACAACAAGCAGACATCATAGAGTCACAACAAGCAGACATCACATCATAGAGTCACAACAAGTAGACGTCATAGAGTCACAACAAGCAGACATCATAGAGTCACAACAAGCAGACGTCATAGAGTCACAAGCAGACATCACAGAGTCACAACAAGCAGACGTCATAGAGTCACGACATCATAGAGTCACACTAAGTAGACGTCATAGAGTCACAACAAGCAGATATCAGAGTCACAACAAGCAGACGTCATAGAATCACAACAAGCAGACGTCATAGAGTCACAACAAGCAGACGTCATAGAATCACAACAAGCAGACATCATAGAGTTACAACAAGCAGACATCATAGAGTCACAACAAGCAGACGTCATAGAGTCACAACAAGCAGACGTCAGAGTCACAACAAGCAGATGTCAGAGTCACAACAAGCAGACGTCATAGAGTCCCAACAAGCAGACGTCATAGAGTCACGACATCATAGAGTCACAACAAGCAGACGTCATAGAGTCACGACATCATAGAGTCACAACAAGCAGACATCATAGAGTCACAACAAGCAGACATCATAGAGTCACAACAAGCAGACGTCATAGAGTCACAACAAGCAGACGTCATAGAGTCACAACAAGCAGATGTCATAGAGTCACAACAAGCAGACATCATAGAGTCACGACATCATAGAGTCACAACAAGCAGATGTCATAGAGTCACAACAAGCAGACATCATAGAGTCACGACATCATAGAGTCACAACAAGCAGATGTCATAGAGTCACAACAACCAGACGTCATAGAGTCACAACAAGCAGACATCATAGAGTCACAACAAGCAGACATCATAGAGTCACATAAAACTCAGACAGAATTGACCAGAGTAAAACAAAAGTTAAACAGAAAATGATTATATAAATATCTCGATACTTTGCTGTAAAATTGAACAGAATCTCGTCTCTTGTACTTTTTATGCTAAAATAAAACATCTCTTTGTCCTGTTTCCATGGAGATTCAGATTTGTGCGATTCGGGAGCAAAGTAAAACAGCATTCTCAATATTATCAGTGTAGTTCTATCTGCACGGACCGACATCAGGCAGTTTGATCCATGTTGAAAAGAGACCCCATAGTACGGCTTCTGGTTCAATACAAAAGCACCGTGTCCGTCCAATTCCATTTATTTTTGTATAGGACTCAATTGCAAAGTTGTCGATTCTCAGACACAGATCAGAGAACAGTTCAAGAATCACATAGAGCCATTGGTCCATTCGGGGCAGAGACCAATGTTCAATAAATGTCGCTGAATGTCGAGAGTCCTGGAAAGAAAATTCACCGGTGCAGATGGAGGAGGCCGGGTTCCAGGGGTCCCATCATCACACCATGGAACAGGCAGTGGGACAGCGGGTGGATAGCAATGAACAGACTACAGCTGAAGTAGTCCCTGCATTGTGCTTTCTAAAGTTGTCTAAAAAGTTGTGTAAAACAAAACCTCCTTCCTCATATTTTCTTCAGGGGAACTTATTATATTTATGCTCGAGTTGCCAAATGGAAATAACCTTCGATCGCACAACTTGACTTCAATCGGCAATAATTTACAAACAGAAAAGAATTTGTAATGTTTTTATCGGGGGCCTATTAAAATGTAACATTGGAATGATGTAATGAGAACCAGGAAGTGCGGTGGCTTCAGTCTACACAACTTACTGGAGGTGGAGCAGGGTTGGGAGGTCTGTGGATATTTTTAGTTTTTTCATATTCATCAACATTGATTTTTGATTATTTAATTTCATTCAGGCAAAGTAAGGTCAAGTGTCTTGCCCGGGCCCACAATATAACACCACTACTACTGTTTGTGTACTGTCTACTGTCTACTGTTTGTGTGAAAGTATAAATATTTTCACACAAACACGAGAAAGCATGTATTATATTCAATCCAATCGTGAATATTTACAGTGAACATTGTGAAGGAGAAAGTAGAGGTAAAGACACACTCTGTCTTTGGGTCAGTTCTGGCTTCAGTCTTATTTGTGCCAAAGACATTTTTACATTTCTGTTTGAATGAATATAATGGGCGACGGTAGCTCAGTTGGTAGAGCATTGGCCTTTGAGCCTGAAGGTTTTGGGTTCGAGTCCACCACAAGACCTACTTTACGACTCCCACTGATGACTGCTGTCGTTGTGTCCTTGGGCAAGACACTTAACCCCACTTTGCCTGAAGCCTCCGGTGAATCAAGGCTCCTGTGGACTCAGCACCTGCAGGAGGATCAGTGAGGGGCTGGTGCTCTGTGGACTGGATGCAGCTCTGACTGCCACCCCCCTGACCCAGGAATGGATTAAGGTGAAGAAGATAGATGGATGGATGAATATAATGAAATTTTGAGGAATATAATTAACAAATATCAAAAGAAGAACATTGTCATGAAAACAAACATTAGCAGGGTTTCTGAGATAAGTGTGAGTCCGTTTACTTCTGCTTAATAAGGAAGATTTATTTATTTAAAGGATAAGACCCTTGAGATTAATCATCTCGTTTTCGAGGGGGTCCTCGAGATTTCACAAAGACAGATACAGCAAAAAGATGCAAACAAAACAAAAATACAAGAAAATTATTAAAAAATATAAAGCAACTATGAAAAATACACACACAATCACTCACACACACACACCCCCACACACACACACCCACCCCCACACACACACACACACCACACACACACCCACACACACCCCCACACACACACACCCACCCACCCACACACATACACACACACACACACACACCCACACACACACACCCCCACAGACACACACACACACACACACACACACACACACACACACACACACACACACACACACACACACACACACACACACACACACACAGTGACTGCATAATAAAAAAGTAAGTATAAAATCTCTATAATAAAGAAGCAATAATAAAATACTGTATATTCTATTGCAAGAAATATTCAGTTATCGGTACATGGCTCTGGCAGTGACACATGTGGCTCTATATTGCACATTGATTGCACAGATACACAGATGTAAGGTCAGGTCAGCAGTGTCTGTTAGTCCTCACTGTTTTTCATACTGACATACTGTATACATTAAATATGGACAAAAAATGCCACAATTGTTGTACTACCCAAGAAAACCTGGACAAAAATAGTAAAAAAAATGAAAAATAAATCTATGTCATACAAAGATAGTTGCTTTAACAGAAAAAGAAAGTAACATATGTTTTTAGTGGAGCCACACAGATGAGAAAGGCCGAGGACCATGGAACCCCCGCAGCAAAGCCATGATAGCTGTGCTAAACGTCCATTTTTGATGAACTGGGACACGCCACGCTGCCGTTATTGTCTTCGACGCGACAATTACTCCGTCATAATGTTCATTTTCCATTTTCTTTGATGAAAGGCATCTGCTGGGCTAAATATTATGACTTCTAATAAAGCCAAAATGTTTTTCTGATGGCCCTCGTAATGTGCGGGCTTAATTACTTTGGCCCGGGGCGGTCCTCCGTGTGCCATAACGCATCTGTCGTGAGGTCGGTGGTGCGCGGAGACATCTTGTAAACAGGGCGGTGGCGCGGCGGCGGTGGCAGTAAACTATGTTCTGAACCAGAGCGGACAGCGTCGTTACAGGGACCACACGTTCATTTGGGGCAGTGCAGCCAAGAAGGAACGGGGAAAAGGATGGACTATAAACTATCAATCTCACATCATTCAATTAATCGAAAGAATTTTAACTGTTAAAGGGGCGATATTCTGCTTTTTCACTGTCCATCCTCTGCACATGTGCAATAATAATTTAGGTGATACACCAAAAAACACTCAAATGTCAAATTATAGCCATTTTCTGCATATAGGTAATTTCAACTCAATTGAAACAATTGGATCTGTGCTTCTCTGTCCTTTTTGTAGCTGTGGCACACCTTTTTGCTTGAAAACAGTCACATGGCACAAAGTGCAACAAAAATTTCCTTATCTTCTCACATTATTTTGACCTATTATGTGATATTGGAATAATTCCCAAGGCGCACCGAACAACATCTTAAGGCACACTAATGTCCCATGGCACACTGGTTGATAAACACTGTCTTAAACACATGCCCTGAAGAAAGCCCAACATGGCCAAAATTTGATTTTTATTTTTTTATGGTCAAGAGTGCTTCAGATTGTTCTCCTCTCTTCATACATTTCCATTGTTTTTGCCACTGCAGCACACATCTCTCTTGATCTTTTGTCATAGTACATGTTAGAATTCATGGTGACCCCAATTACTGTGCGGTCCGCCATCATTACAGCCAGGCCTGCCAGTACCTGCTCCTTTAAAGCAATCCTTTTAGATGAAATTTGAGCTTTAAAATCCATACATTCAGTCTAACATTCATCTGTGTAGTAAACAAAGCACAAGTTAATTAGAAATTCAAATGTGTCTTCTGCGAAAACACTATCTACTACAAAAGCCATTTCTCCTGAACCTACCACTACATCTACAACAGCCTGAAATGGATCCACTTGTGCAGTAAACGCTTTCTGAAACTGCCGATCCGACACTCGCCAATTCCACCGCTCGCTCACCTGTTAGCCCTCCGTCCCACTCCCCCAAGACTTCATCAAATCAATAATATTCTGCTCCGTGGTTCCTCCGCTGTCATCTCTCATTTGTCCGTCGTGGAAGTGTCTTTTCTCTCATAACGCCTTTCCAATCAAGCCCGTAGCCCGGAGTGGTCGATGCTAATAATGCTAATACGTGGGTAGCATCTGTTGAAAATGGCAGCCGGGACCTTGCACCTTTTGGCATTCTTCGCCTGCCTGCTCGAGCCAGTGAAGCCGAGAACTCATTTGGTGGGTTAATTAGAACAAAAAGATCTGTATTTTTTTTCTTCCCATGGATTATCGAAGGCGCTCGGCCGGCCATAGCTTCCCCGCCGTTTTGCGTTAGCGCGTGGAGGACTGTTGTGAAGCTAAATGCCACCTGTCAATCACGGCTCCGGTGCGGATTGGTCATTACTGGGCCGTGATGGAGAGGTAAGTCGGGTAATCATCTTCAGTGATTGGGGGAGTTAATGTTGTCAGTGTGCGGCGCAGGCCTTTGACCGACGGACGGGGGTCAAACTGAGGGAAAATGCCCCGAGCGGAAGGTAAACAAATACAGGTGATGGTTTTACCCCATGAGTAGGAATCAGCCACATGAAAAGTGACTGCACAGAGATACAAGAAATGAATGGGAAGAGGAGCAGATGTGATCAAAGAACCATGACGGACCACTCAGACCATGACGTCATAGTACTTGGAACAGTCTTCCGCGAAATGTGAGACAGCCTCCTTCTCTGACGATGTTCAAATCCAGTTAAAACAGTTCTTTACGCGTTTTAATGCCCTGTATTATTAATAATTTAAATGTCTTGTGTGATTGTTTTGTTAAGCTCTTGGAGTTGCCTTGTGTTTGAGCTGTGCTGTATAAATAAGCTTGCCTTTGCATGACTGGTAATTTCTCCAAATTCGCTGGTCCAAAATCTGCTCAACACTAACTTCATTTGTGGTCTGCAGATCCTTTGATGTGACAATCTTTCTGCTGATGAGGGGCAAAGCACAGAGCGGTACGGCAGGATTGAATACAGTAGTGCGGGGATGTCTTTCATTACATTCTATCCATCCATTCATCCATCTTCTTCCCTTTTTGTCCTTCTGTGTCGGGTTGGCAATCAGCTACCACCCATTTCACAGAGTACCAGCCTCAATCTTTCAGCAGGGGCTTCAGGCAAAGTAGAGTTAAGTGTCCTGCCCAGGGACACAACGACAGCAGACATCAGTGGGAGGTGATGGAGAAATTACTCTAACCCTAACCCATCACATTCTATTTGATCAATATTGACATTTTAAACGTGTTCAATATACTGTGTACTGTGGTGCCTCGTATACATGACAGAGGCTAAGTCTGATTCTACAGAAAGTAGTAGAGAAACATGAAGTCGAAGAAAGAGAAATACATTTACAGTGAAACAAGGCATTGTTACGGTCAATGGGCATCTGTGGCTAAGCTCCACAGGTCGGGGTTTGGTGATTTGTGGTTAGCCAACAATAGAACAAGAGCAAGGAACCAGTGGGATGGATGTTATTATACAGTAATTTTCACAATGGCAAAATGTCCTGGAACAGACGGCATTGTGGGCCTGATTTGGCCCCTGGGTTGCTCCGTGAACAGACCTGCAATACAGCAAATAAAAGCCCAACATTCTCCTCTTTCCAGATGCAATGCTCCGGCCTCTTTCATGTGTGATGCAAGCGCCACACATTTGTTTTTCTACCCTCAAGAAAAAATAGCGGTTGCTCTTTTGGGTAAAATGATGCAAAAACTCTCACACAAGCAAATTTCAGCATAACAAAACCGCTCCGCCGCCCCCTCCCTCTCCCCGGCACCAAAAGCAGATTTTCACTCGACTACAAGTGCAAACACACGCCGAGCCCTGTTCTGGCAAATGGCTCCTGCGAGACCATTTTTGAAAGTCAGATTGAAACCTAAATTTGTTTTGTTTGTCGCTTTCAATGGAAATCGCTTTGCAGAAATAGCGCCGCGTGTCTTCTACTCTTACAGCGAATGGGGAAAGAGAGATATCACAAAGCAACAACAAGAAAATGCAACAATGGTCCGTAGAGTCTTGATTGAATGATGTCCCCGTAAAAAAAACATGGATTGGATTATAGCGGAAAGTGCAGTGTCAGGGAGAGAGAGGGATCGGCTTTGGAAGGACAGTTTTTACTTGTTTTTCCTCTGTATGGCGTCTATGAGTGTCCAAAAAGAGTTATATAAGTACAATGTATCATTATTATTATTATTATTAGTTTTCTGTGGTGTTTGGTGTCTGGGGAAGAAGTGGGAAGAAAGTTTGTTGCTGATGCCCTTGGAGAGTACACACCCCGCCCAGCCCATGGATCGTCTTGAAATCTGAGGTCTTCACTCACCAAATTTCTGCTCAATTTGTCCAGTTGTTTTTGCACAATCCTGCAACAGACAAGCACAGAGACAACTGCAAACCCCCCTCGGCGAGGTTTAAAACGTAGAAAATCACAACATGAATTGAACAATAAAGGTATCCAGTAGTGGGGCCGAGAATCTTACTTACTGAGCATTTCTCCATTGTGAAGAGAGATGTAAAAGCAGAGGCCATAGGTGCATTCTGGCTTTGACAACTGAAACTCATCAGAAATTAAAATGAAGGTGGGGCACTTCACATTTCCCTCCCAGTAATAATAATAATAATAATAATAAGGCATCAGGTTTTATATAGAGAATTTTTGGACACTCATAGACGCTTCACATGTCGATATTCTTTCACTCCACACACGGTGGTGATAAGCTACTACTTTAGCCACAGCTGCCCTGGGGCCCACTGACAGAAGCAAGACAACCAGTATGTGCCATCAGCCCCTCCGACCACCACCAACCATTCACACTCACACTAGTCTTATCAAAGGCAATCCGGGTGAAGTATCTTTACAGTTTTTACAGCCGTAGATGCCCCACTGGTGTTCCCAGAGGTCTCCCATCATAGCACTAACCAGGCCCTGTCCTGCACAGCTTCAGAGGTCTGATGGGATCTGGCTTTCACCTGTAGGTTTGGCCAGAAGGGACAAAGTAGACAGGCATCTTGCTGATTGTTTGTTTTCATATTATTTATACTTTTAAGAGAGAGCACAGACAATAATAATTCCATCTCTCACAATCATAACAATGTACAGTTAGTGAAAGATTGTTCATGTGTGTCTGTGTGTGTGTTGTCCTGATCACAAATATAAAAAGATCAGATTTTTGCATGCTACAGTTTGTCTCCCAAAACACGCAGTGGCTCTGAGCGGCAGTGGCTCTGAGCGGCAGTGGAGTGAGCCGAGCAGAACATCACTAATCTGTGTGTAATGAGGTTCTGCTGCAGGTGTGCGGGTCGTTCCGGACACTTCCGCTCTCACCCTGACATCCACTTAGCGCCTCACCACGTGCACTACACCACGTGCACTACACCACGTGCACTACACCACGTGCACTACACCACGTGCACTACACCACGTGCATGGCCCCAAATCCTGCGCTCCCTCTGGGCTTCAGGAGACACGTCACGCAAGACCTCACCTCCAGACCTCCAGCGTTTGGACACCTGCCAGAGAAGAGACAGCAGCGATAAATAATAATGGAATACTTACTTGGACTGTTGTGTAACCGTGAATCGGTGGGAATTGGGTTTTAACCGCTGTGGAATATAGTAGAACATACAGATAAGAAAGAAAATCCTTGGAAAGAGCCTTTCCAAGGATTTTAATGACATTTGTAAAGTTACACGACCTTTATTGGTTGTGTTCACTGTCTTTGTTGCACTAAACCAGCGTCAGATCAGATCCTGGGACCAGTCCTGGGACCAGTCCTGGGACCAGTCCTGGGTCCTGCTTCAGCAACAGTGGGACTGCAGTGATATGAGACCAGTTCACGTTGCCATCAGAATCCTTTTATTGCCAAAGTAACAAAGAAGTCAAGAATTAGGAACATGCTAATGGCTCCTGGTGCAAACAGGTCATTAAAGTATAAATAGATATTGGGCATACATTCAAAAATCGTCATAGAAGTTATTAAAATGACTAATATACACGGTCTTCTGGGCGTTACGCTCCAGGTTGTTGCACCAGGACACCTGTCGGTCCACCTCCTCCTGTAGCAGACTCATTGTGTCAGCGATGAGTCTAATCTGGTGTCATCTGCAAACGTGACCAGCTTCACAGAGTCGTGGCTGGAGAGGCAGAAGTTGGTCTCAGGGGAAGAAACGGGAGAAAGAACACAGCCCTGTGGAGCTTCTGTGTTAGTGGCTCGAGTGTGAGCCCTTATACCAGAGGCGTCAAACTCATTTTGGTCAGAGGCCAAATGAAAAAAATATGAACTGGTCGGGGGCCGAAAAAATAGAAGGGATTTTATTTCCATAGAAATCTTTTTTATGGTATTTTCAGATTCAGATCCAGATTCATTTATTTGCCATTTGCAGTAAAACCACATTGGAAAAACTGTGCAAGACTACCCCAGTGTGCACCAGACAGAGAAGACGGCACACACCAGAGCTCTTGCCACGGCGCCATCTTTACGGCGCCATGCAACAAACAACCACATTTGACGTGACTTTTTGAGTTTCACTGTTATTTTCGGGAAAATAAATAGAATTTATTGTTTGGATTTAAGCAAAACTGGACCAAATACAAAGTTAAACACATTGTACTATATTTAATTTCAAAGGGTGCGTTGGTTAAAAATGGTAGAATAAATCAAATGTGGTTGTTTTCCTAAGAAGAAGTATAGATGTATAAAATGCCTTGGATCATCCATCCATTTTCTTCCCCTTAATCCATTTCTGGGTCAGGGGGTGGCCGTCAGAGCTGCACCCAGTCACAGAGCACCAGCCCCTCACTGATCCTCCTGCAGGTGCTGAGTCCACAGGAGCCTTGATCTTTCAGTGGGGGCTTCAGGCAAAGTGGGGTTAAGTGTTTTGCCCAAGGACACAACGACAGCAGTCATTAGTGGGAGTCATGAAGTAGGTCTCGATGTGGGCTTGAACCCACAACCTTCAGGCCCAAAGGCCAATGCTCTACCAACCGAGCCACTGTCGCCCATTGGCTTATGCCTTGGACCATACAAAGTAAATTATGATAAATGAAAATCACTTTAGGGCTCACAAAAAAAATAAAAAATGTTGTGGGCCGGATTTGGCACGCGAGCCTGAGTTTGACATGCCTGCATTAGACAGATGGGATGGGGGGACATGTTTGGGCTCGTGTGCGCCCTTCTTACGGTCACGGCATTTATGGTGGTGTCCAATTGTCAAACAGATAAAAGTAATGGCATTCAGAACTTCCCAAGATGCACATTAGTGTCACTGTGCGATCGATATAGACCACAATGCATTGCAAGAGTCGTAGAACAATGGAAGACGGTGACTGTTACAAAAGGCCTTGAGCACATGGAGGAGTCGTTTTAAGCAAGGTGGAGTCGTGATTATGAATAACGTGAAAGAATAAATCATGACCCATTCCCAGGGAGTCCAGTGCATTTTGTTTTCCCCAGAGCCAACATGAAAAAGCAGAGTTAGAAAAATATCTAGTAAAGTGTTATGAATCTATTATACATTTTAGTCACAATGAAAAGACACAAACACCTCACCCCATCCCTTCTCTCAAAATGCCCTTAACCTCAGATGATGACATTTTGGACAGAGCTGTTTTCTGCCTTATAAAACAATAGTATTGCCTCTAAATAATTTTGGTCATTTATCGAGAACAGAGCAAAAACACAAACCTGTCTACAGCGAGCAACGCAGGCTCACGTGAAGAAACGGTGAAGCCAAGGTGAGGTAATGCATTAAGAAAACTGGCGGACCACGAGAGAGAGCTCTCCACCCCGATGGTGGAACCTCTGCCGGATTGAGGGAGAACCAGCGTGAACTGTGCGTGTCTCATGGGGCTATAGGTTCATCACAGAGAGGCCCTCCAGTCTGTGACCAGGGGCCAGAGGGGACAAGACCTACCCACAGGAGAACCAGCTGCAGGGGGGATAGGGGTGACATGGTGACCCCTCGGCTGCACGGCCTAGATGTGCAAAAGATAATGTTTTCGAATAAGATAAACAATGTTCGCATAAAAAAAAAAATTGTCCACTCACCTTTGGCCCTCCGCGGGCGGTTATCCCTCTCTAAGCTCGGGTCCTCTACCAGAGGCCTGGGAGCTTGAGGGTTCTGCGCAGTATCTTTGCTGTTCCTAGCACTGCACATTTCTGGACCGAGATGTCCGAGGTTGTTCCGGGGATCCGCTGTAACCACTCTTCTAGCTTCGGGGTCACTGCCCCGAGTGCACCGATCACCACGGGCACTACTGTCACCTTTACCCTCCAGGCCCTCTCCAGCTCCTATCTGAGACCTTGGTATTTCTCAAGCTTTTCATGTTCTTTTTTCCGGATGTTACCATCGCTTGGAATTGCCACGTCCACCACCACGGCTGTCCTCTACCCTTTGTCTAATATATAATATATATATATATATATATATATATATATATATATATATATATATATATATATATATATATATATAAAGCATGTGCTGAATGACCTGCCCATGCATCCCATAATAACACTCCGAATGCCGCGGACACATGCGTGTGTGAGATGTTGACAGAGCAGGTAGGTCCTCTGGGAAATGACCGTGGGGCACTTGCTGTTGTTTGCTATGAACTGAAGTGTGCATTCTCCGTGGCCGCAGCGTTCTGACCTGGGGCAGCTGCGGCCGCTCTGGACAGAGGCGTTCGCTTTGACAACAACACGGCGAACGGCACCGCTGTAACGTCATATCCAAGACCATACACGCCACAGGACTATTCTCTGCATGTTGTGTGCGTGTCTTTGTCTGTGCACCCTAACCCTCTCAAAGACGCTTCACACATTACTCATGACTGGTGGTAAACTATAAATGTAGCCACAGCTGCCCTGGGGCAAACTGACAGAAGTGAGGCAACCAGTCTGTGCCATCGGCCCCTCCCACCACCACTATCCATTCACACACACACCAGACTCAATCTTGGTAATGTGGGGGAAGTGTCTTGCCAAAGGACACAAGGGTAGTTTGGCACTTTACTGCCGCCCCACTGTGGTTTTCCCATCACTGAACAAACCAAGCCCTGCCCTGCTTAGCTTCAGTGATCTGACAGGATCTGGGTGTCTCATCCAAACACACACAGATACAGCTGGTCTCTAAAGGCCTCAGAAATGCCCAGTCACTTATGCAACCTTTTTTTTTTATTATATAGAACCACATAATTTTGCTTTCACTTCACAGTCGTGGTTTTAATGAAAAAGACCAAAATAAAATCTTGTTTGCGTTCGACAAAAATGTGCAAAGTTCAGGCTGTATCAACACTTTCGCAGCCCGCCGTGTGTCTCACCTGCTTTACCCTTTATCCGTCACAAGCGTCTGCTAAACTTCTTCACTCTTTCATCTACTCTCCTCCGACACCAGCATAAATCAAATTGTGCCGAGCGATCTGAAAACGCCGCGCTCTGGAGGCGGGCCGAGGGCTTTGTTTACCCCGCGTTGTAGCGCCACGGTAGCATTTCCGCCGCGTGTGATTACCGACTCATTTCAATACATTTGTTTTTTCTTTAAGATCCCGAGCGCTGGACTAGAAAATGACAGTTTTAAAGCCGTCTGTAGCTCCTGCCCTTATAACAAACACATAAAGTTGTTGCTCTTAATTGACTGCAGCGGCTTGACGTTAGCGCACTTTGGGACGGAGTTTGAAGACGGCATTAGCATTTGAAATAGTGGGAACGCAGGGTCGCGGGGGGATAAATTAGCCGGACAAATGGGCTTCGCTTCAGAGGATTAGCGTGGCATTAGCATAGCATTAGCATACGTGCGGCAGGTCGGAGGAGCACACGGAGATAAAATTGTGAAGTGAACTTACAGGAAAGATTATTAATGTTTGGTGGATGGGAAATGTTTAGTCGGTATGGACAGGTTATCACGCAGGAAACTTGGAATTAAATGCAGGAAATAAAACTATTAGCATAAACGAACGGACGGACGGTGCTGAGGTTTGATAAACATATGGTATGTTCTTTATTTGAACAGGGACAGTGTTAAACATTAGCACAAGAGAGAGATGCATTGTACTTAAAGCTTAGATAACAACAACTTCTCAGGGAACAGACTGAGTTGTTCAGCCGTCACTGTGTTTTGTAGTTTTACATTCAAAAATTTTGCATTTTTATTATTTTCTCAAATTATACTTAGGAGATGAGTCACAGGACTACATCTACAAACTTTTAAACATAATAATAAAGGACTTTGTTTTTGTACAGCGCTTTTTCGGACTCTCAAAGATGCTTCACATGTCATTATTCTGTCACAACAGGTTGGTGATAAGCTACTATTCTAGCCACAGCTGCCCTGGGGCACATTGACAGAAGCGAGGCAACTAGTATTTGCCACCAGTGTTCAGCCCCTCCCACCATCAGCGACCAATCAAACACACCAGATTCATTTTAAAGTGTTTGAAGTGTCTTGCCCAAGGACATCACAGCCGCCCCACTGTGGTACCTGGTGTTCCCAGAGGTCTGCCATCACAGTACTAACCAAGCCCTTTCCTGCTTAGCTTCAGAT